GTCTGGTGGCTGCCTGAAGCGGGCCGTTCAGAACTGCTTGCTCTGAATTCACGCTATTGAATCTCAGGTCGCGTGGCCGCGGCAGCGGCTGCCCGCTCTCATTGTTCTGCTGCGCGAACCTGATGTGCGCAAGGACCGCGCCATAGCCTATGGCGCGGTCCTTGCTCACCTGGCTGGGTCACTATGGCCCATAGGCTATGCTAGCCTGCTGGCTCACCTGGCTGGCTCACCTGGCTGGGTCACTTGCGCCATAGCCTGTGAGCAAGCCTATGGCCCATAGGCTTGCTCACTTGGCTGGACCGCCTGTGGAGCCGCATGCAATCTCGGCCTGCGGAGACGCGGGCGCCGGCTCGCTCGGGCCCTTGGGGCGCCGCGGCCCGAGGCAACAGCGCCCATGCAGGAGAGGCTTTGCTCAAATGTTTTTTGCGGGCGAGGCGGCTCTGTCGTCGCTTCTCCTGAGTATTGCTCGGCTTCGATTTGCTGGGATGTCGAAGCCTTCTTATGACGCCCCCAGATGGGGGCGGGCTGTCGCCCATGCGATTGATCTTGATTGTCCGCCGCACCCCCTGGCCCGTGAGGGCATCCTCCACATGGGGCCCAGGTTGCTGCGGAGCGAGGGCTGCTTCGCCCCGCCGATCACCCCCCATGGGGGCCTCGTGGCTGGTGCTCGGAGGGCCCCCGATTTCTCGAAATGCCGAGTGCTTCTGATGTGCGAGAAGGTTTGTGCCAGCAGTGCCATCGTTACCCTCCGCACGCGGATCGACGACGTCACGCAGCGTGCAGAAGGGGCGCAGGCGAGATGTAATTCGTGAGTTAGTTCGTGCTGGTTCCGTTTTTGCCGAAGGCTGTGCTGGAGAGCGACTTCAGCTCGCCAGCAAATCTACGATCGTGGCGTCTAGGCTGTCAGTGGCGCGAGCAATCCAAGCTGGGCTAGGATCGAATGGCATCCAGGTCCAGGTGGCATCGGTTGTGGGCGATCTTGGCATCGAGCGAGGTAGTGGGGTCACGGGGGCCAAGCCCCGACGCCCCAAGCGTCTGAACTAGGCTCGCCGGCGAGCCGCCCGAATTAACGAGCTGGCGTCGGTGGCTCCTCGCAAGATCGGGGCGCGGTTGATCCTCACTGGGGCTTTTGCCGCAGGCGTCCTACGCCTGGAAGGTCTTTGGGGTCGCGCCCTCGGTCCTCCACAAGTGGCGACGAGCCCTGGACAGCTCTCTCGCCCGCGGCACGGCGGGACGATGTTTAACCACTCTTCTGGCTGTGGAGGTTCGGAGACAGGACCCAGTCTCTTCAGCAGTGTTCCAGTTGCTGGAGTCGTGGTTTCAGGTCGCGCCCTCTCTGCCGAAGAAAAGTGCGGCTCGCATGCTCGCTTGCTGGGGAGACGAGGTCGCTCGGATTTCTGATTTGGGCCCATCCCGTCGGTGGCATAATATACGCGGGCCTGCCTCGGCGGTTGTGGCGACGATGTTGGACCTGGGATGGAAGCTCGAGGGCCCTTGGTCTTGGGTGGCTCCTGGGGGTAATGTTTTTGCTGTCCCCGACGAGCTCCAGTCCCAAGCTTATATGACGTCGGACTTCAAAGATGAGGTCGCTCGCAGTATAGAGAACCGTCTGCGGAAGGCCGCAGCCACCTACAGCCTACAGCCACCTACAGACGCGGGAGTGGTGCCGAAGAGGGTGTGGATTTTACGGTGGCGTGGAAGCATCTGGCCTCCTTGCGTCGCGAGTCTGTCCAGAAATGGGGTCTCCTTCGCTCCGTTCTTACGGGGGGGGGCGTGGGCGCGGGCTCGCATCCTGGCGTGTGGGGGTGAGACCGAAGAGTCCTGCCCCAGATGTGGTGCAGGTCCTGAGACGGGCACCCACCGTTTCTGGGAATGCCCGTGCAATGGTGAGTTTCAGGAGATCGATCAGTTTTTCGCCAAGAAGGTCGCGGCCGCCTCCGTCGATTTGCCGTGCTTCTGGCTTCGCGGTCTCGTGCCCCGATCTTGGGCCGAGGTGCCTCCTCCTCCCCATGACCCGCTCTCCGTCGCTTCTGGTGTGTTTCCGCGTCGTGGTGGGGGAACTCGCATCTGGGGCGCTGGAGACGCGAGCGGGGAGGAGTTCTCGAGGGGCAAACGTCTGAGGAGGGTGTCGTGGGGCGTCGCGGTTTTCGAGCATGATGGTGTAACGTCCCCAGCTGCGTTGGCCGACCCTGGTTTAAAGTTTGTGGGTGGGGGTGGCATTGCTGGTAAGCAGTCTGTTGACAGAGGAAAGTTGTGGGCTCTCGTTGTCTTCCTGGAGGCCGCCCAGAGCGGCTCGAGTCTCGGGTACGTGTGCGATTCGGCCTATGTGGCTCAGGGCTTTGAGCGCATCCAGGCTGGCCTCCAGGAGCGTGTTCTGACCCACCTCGGTTTGTGGGGGCGCGTCCAGAGCGCCATGTCCCGCCTGGGCGGTGTGGCTCTCGTTAAGATTCCGAGCCATCTGTCTGTCGCCGAGGCCCTGGCTCGGGGTCTCAGTCCTGGCGCGGTGTTGGCGAATCCTGTGGCGGATCAGGTCGCAAGCCATTTTGCCACCCTCGTCCAGTTGCCGTATGGACAGTCCGCTCCTGTGCGTTTCGCGGACGGCCTCGCTCGAAAGGTGCAGAACCATCTTGTGACTGTCATGGGTGATGTGCTTGAGAAGGAAGGCCGCCAGCCCTTCCGTCCCCCTAAGTTGAGGGTTCGGCAATCGGCTCGGGAGCGTCTCCGAAAGGCTGCGGGTTCCTCAAATCACAAATGCCCGATGATGGTATGTGGAGATTTCACCCGCTGCTAGTCGTGCGGATGCTCCGCGTCTGCTAATGATTTAACGGCCTTTTTGTCTTCTCCGTGTACTCCGATGGTCTGGTCTGGTGCCGTTTTTAGGCCGTCGGCTGCGATTTGTGTGAGGAGCCAAATCGTCCATTCGTCCCATGATGTGGCTTATTGGCCAGAGGCCGACATCCTGTGGTGCCTTGTTTGTGGGTCGTACAGCTCGGCCTGCGGGAGTTTTCTGACGAATTCACCAGGCGGGTCACCAGGGCTGGCGCCCAGACCCTGGCCAGGATTGCCCAGGGCAAGGTCCCTGGAAGTTGTGTGTGTGGGGGAAGGAGAGGAGAGCGAAAGCGGTTAATTTGGTGGTGAGTGGTGTGAGGGACGAGAGAGCGGCGAGTGCGCGCGCGGCGCCCCGCCGTGCGGCGGCGGCGCTCCTGGAGCCCGACGGGGCCGTCGCCAGGCGCGCGCCCCGCCGCCGCCCCGCCTCCGCCCCCCCGCCCGCGGCGCCCGCCTCCCCCTCCTGTTCCTCCTGCTGTGCTTTAGCAGCTGCGTACTGGTCATTGCGACTGCTTGCTCTTCTCCTCCTCCTCCTCCTCCTCCTTATGCTCCTCCTCCTCCTCCTCCTCATCCTCCTCCTCCTCCTCCTCATCCTCCTCCACAATTACTCAATATGAATACTACTCTCCCTCTTCCCCTGATGGCGTGCTGGGAGTGGCCGACCACCCCCCCGCGTACTGTTTTTTACACACAGGATTCCCGGGAATTGAATTTTCGCCTGCGTTTTTTTCAAAATGCTGCTCTCGCTGAGGCGCCGGCCTCATTTCTGCTCCCGAATCGTTCCGGATCGTGCTCCCGCTGCAGCGTGGGCCTGATTTTCGGATCGGTGTTTTGCCTCCGACGTTCAGGATGGCGTTCTCGCCCCAGCGCGGGCCTCTTTCTCGCGCGCCCATCCGCCCGCCACCACCGCGCCGCACCACGCCCCGCCCCGCCGCACGCACACCCACCGCCACTTCCACCCACCAACGCACGCACGCACGCACGCGCACCACCACCGCGCACCGCCACCACCACCGCACTACCCCACCCACCACCACCACGCTACACCGCGTCACACCACATCACACGCGCGCACACACAGACACGCACGCACGCACGCACGCACGCACGCACGCACGCACGCACGCACGCACGCACGCACGCACGCACACGCACACACACACACACACACACACACACACACACACACACACACACACACACACACACACACACACACACACACACACACACACACACACACACACACAGACACACACACACACACACACACACCACCACCGCCACCACCACCACCACCACCACCACCACCACCGCCATCACGCACGTACGCACCTGGCCCACCACCAAACCACCAAGACGCCACACCACGTCACACCACAGCACACGCGCACACACGCACACACACACATACATACACACACCACCACACAACCACAACCACGCACACACGCACGCACGCACGCGCACCACCACCCACTACGCACACGCGCGCGGAGCCACAGGTCCGCTACGACACGCGTCCGCGGATAGAGAAAATCAGCGCCATGGTAAGGGATGGGAGGGAGGGGTAGGATGTCAGATGTTGACGCGAGCGCACCTAACTTGTCCCCCTCCCCTCCTCCTCCCCCTCATCCCTTTCCTTCTCCTCCTTCTCCTCCTTCTCCTCCTTCCTTCCCTTCCTTCCTTCCTTCCGTCCTTATCCTCATCCTCCTGTTGCTCCTCCTCCTCCTCCTTGTGCCCCTCCTCCGATTCCTCCTTCATCCTCCCCCTCTTGGAGCACGACGTCTTACACAGCCCTTCATTATTCCACTGCGTTCTCCTCCACGTCCCTGATCAGGGCAACCCGTCTGGGCACCGCTGTTGGGTGGGATGGTGTGGTTACGGTTGCGCGAAACATCTAGAGTATCAAAACGCCGTCGGGCATCGCGCCTGGAGCCCCAGACGCGAGACTCTTGCCTGCACCCTTTCTCAAGCCGCGTCCAGCTTCGAGGGCCACGAGCCCCGACACACAGCGCGACAACGCCCGGCTCGAGACCGTTGCGACGAGCGGACATCGGGTGTCCCTGAGGCCGGCCGTCGGGCGGCGATGCCTCAGCACGCGGCCGGCGCCCCCGGCGATCGATCCCTGGGACGAGGCCCGCGAGCGCGGCGATCGGGACCGAGGCCGGCGCGGCCCGCAGCAGCGCCGCGCCGCTGCGCGGGGCCATGCCAGGGGGGGGGGGCGGGCCTGGCCAGCGCCGCGGCGCCGAGGGGGCGTCGCGACGGGCCGCTCGCGGAGCCCCGGGCCGGGACGGCTGGGAGGGCGGAGGGGAGGGGGCCCAGGCCTCGAATCATGAAGAGTCAAGGCGGGATGTCTTTCTGGGAGTCCCCGCCAAGCCTCAGGACCGTCAAGAAACGACTCGTGATGAGGAGCAGGTCCCGTCGAGACCTCCGGGGGCCGACGTTACGAAAAGAATCATGACGTCGGGGGCCTGGGGAGGAGGCACAGGTGCAGGGGTGGGGGTAGAGAGAGGAGGAGCGGAGGGCAGCCGCACAAGGGGGCCGGAGGAGAGGGAAGGGGAAAGGCAGGATAAGGGCGAGAGGAAGGAGGAGGGGGATGAGGGCGGAAGAGGAGGAGAGAGGAGGAGGAGAGGGAGGAGGAGGAGGAGGAGGAGGAGGAGGAGGAGGAGGAGGAGGAGGAGGAGGAGGAGGAAGAGGAGGAGGGAGGAGGAGGAGGGAGGAGGAGGAGGAGAGGGAAATGGACGGCACGTCGCACAAAGAAGCGCCGTCCTGATTACGTCGTAGCATGCTGCTGAGGCTCAGGCCCCTAGCGAACTTAGCCTCAAGGGCACGGCGAAGCCTGTCCTCGCCCGCGCACGCAGGGGCGCGCAGCAGGGGCAGAGGGAACGTCCCACTGCCTCGATCCCAAAGGGGGAAGTGGGGACAGGGAGGAGAGGACGCACTGGGTCTCCTGCTCATCTCTGCACACCCGCTTCAGGTGCTGCGTCAGCAGCGGCAGCAGCGAGCTCCGCGCGCAGCTCGCGACCCGCCAGGCCCAGGCCCTCCTTCCAGAGGGCCGGGGCACCCCACGGCGCGCAGGCTGTGCGAGGGGCCAGGGCCCTCTGGGTGCGCCGCGCCCTCATCTTCCTCCTCCTCCTCCTCCTCCTCCTCCTCCTCCGCCTCCTCCTCCTCCTTATCCTCCTCCTCCTCCTCCTCCTCCTCCTCCTCCTCCTCCTCCGCGCCCTCATCTTTTTCTTCTTCCTCCTCCTCCTTCCTATCCTCTTCTTCCTCCTCCTCCGCGCATCCGCCGGCGCAAGACTACCTTGGACTGGCTCCTTTGATTATGCCCCGCACGGGGCATGTTGTGATGAATGCTGGCCCTGGCAAATGTTGTGTAATCTCTGTGGTCCGTATTCTTCAACTAATACCTCAAACTTGTCTCGCCAATGCTTGCGCAAAAGGGCTTTCCCTACCGACCGCGATCGATTGGGGCGTTTTATTCATGAGATTGATCCAATGCGCAATGCATTATCAGGACCTGTCGTTCCAGCTACCCTCCAAAGAATTTGCGGGTGTGGATTCCTTCACTGGCTTTACATACAGAATGACGTATGCAGGCTCTTGCGTGCCGTCTGCTTCGCATTGTAACCCGCACGGTGATGATGCGGAATATGTGTGTTTTCGTCTAACGACTATCTGGATGGTGATGAAGATGATGATGCGGACGCGCTCCGACTGCGTGGCCTGTTCGAGTTTCGTGCTGGTCCTTCTTGCGCGAACCCCCTGTTCGTTTCCTCTTCAGACTGTGAAGGCAGCCCTGTGCGGCTTACAGCTCCCAGCCTCCTCCTCCTCCTCCTCGATTTCATGAGTTCACGGTTGTGTCTGAAGGCCAAACTAGGGAAGCACCATGGAGAAGAAGGAAGGCCGAGAGGAGGGAGGAAGAGAGGGAAGGAGGAGAATGGTGCTTCCGAAGTCCCCAGAAAGGCGGCTTGCCCGCGGCTCCCGCCATGAGCCTGCCCAAACGCGGAGCTGGCACATCCACCGCCAGCCTTCTCCCCCCTCCACCCCCAAACTATACCCCCCTCCTCCTCGTCCCCCTCCCTCCTCCTCGCCCGTCTCTCTGCCCTCCCACCAGCACTTCTGGCCCGCCCTCTTCGCGGGAGCCCCGTGGGTGACACCGCCCGCGGCCGCGCACCCTCCTGCCCCCTCTGCGCCAGGATAACACGGCCGAATCCGCTTCGCCCGCAGGGCCACAACTCCTGCCGCACCCGGTGCTCCTGGATGGCTCGCTGCGCCGTGGACCCTGTCCCTCGGCGGCGAGCGAGGGGGGAAGCGAGAAGGAGAAGGCCTTCTGAGAACGCTCGAAGGCCCCCGGCCTTCGGAGGATTGCTCCAGGCCTTCCCCGGCGACGCAGGAAGCTTCTCAGAAGGATGAAAACAGCGTCTGAGATGCCCCGCTGCCTTCTGAGAAGGCCTTCTCCTTCTCACTTCCCCCCCTCGCTCGCCGCCGATGGACAGGCGCGGCGCGCCACAAGCGAGCCGTCGAGGGCCGTTCCAGCCCACCTCCGCGCGGAGAGCAGTGGGGCAGGGTCTCGCGCCTGCAAGGTACGATCCCCAGCCAGAGGGCACCCAGAGGCAGGCAGGCTGCCCGTGGCGCCGACCACGACGGAGGCATCGGTGGCACCATCAATAATCACTGACGTCGATGCCGATGGCGACGCTGCCGATGGCGGTGGCCGTGACGACGAGGGCCAGGACGGATGCGATTCGCAATGGCGAGAGGTCCACGCAATGGGTCCTCGGAGGCCTCATGAAGTCCCCGGAGGCCAGGTCACCACCTGCGCGAGCCGATCCTGCAACGTTGCGGCGGCGGTAATGCTCCCAACTTCGCGCTTCGCGCTCCGCGAAGCGCGAAGCGCGAATAACTTCGCGCTCTCGCGCCGCCCCCCCAAAGGGAGAAAAGGAGGACGAGGAGGAGGTGGAGGAGAAACGAGGACCGCGAAGCGCGAAGCGCGAATAACTTCGCGCCCTCGGGGGAGCCCTTGGTAATGCCCTCTGTGTCAATCCCCGTCGCAACATCTGGGACCGCTGCCGCCGTGTCGTTCGGGTCTCGAGCGCGCCGCGAGACCCGAACGACACGACGGTTGCGATCAAAACCCCCGCCGCCGTCGTGGTCGTCGCCATTATGATCGTCTTCGCCGCCATCGTCATCGTCGCCGCCGCCGAGGTTTGTCGCCGACCGTGGGCGGGAAGATTCGGCGGAGAGGCGCTGGCCGCCGAGATGATGGCCGTCACCGGCGCCTGGCCGCGGCACCGTGCAGTGAGCGGGGGACAGAGGAAGAACAACCTACATGAACATAAACTTTTGCGTGGCGTGTCGAGGCGGCGGCCCCGGCGACACACTGCATGCCCTGCAGGGCGACAGCGTGTCGCTCCGCTTCGCGGGACGGGAGGCTGGGAAAGGCTGGGGTCGTTGACGCCTGGGGACTGGGGACTGGGACGCGGGCGGCGACGAAGCGTGGGGGGCCAGAAATGGCGGGGCGATGCGCTGAGTAAGCGTTCCCGACCGTAACATGACACTTGCGGCAGAAAAACCTAAGCTTAGGTCGGGCATGTCCTCATACCGGCGGATTTTGGAAGAATCATTGAAATAGTCAACATGCAATCAAAACAGTCAAAAGAGCACGACGAATCGTCACCATATTTTTGTTGAGCTAGTATTGGATATGGTTTGCTGATTACTTTCGGCAAAAAAAAAAACGTAAGCACAAAAGCACGAGACATCGTCACCATACTATGTATTACTATTCTCGGATATTCCTTCTATAGAGACACATGCCCGACTCAAACCTGAACAGCACGGCGCAGCTATACGGACTGAGGCACACGGTGGGCCTCGGAACTCAGGGGGGCCAGGCTCGCCCGGGCGTTCGGGGCGTCCGTGCAGACAGGCTGTCTTGGGGATGGAGCTTCGAAAGGTCATGCTTGTGCTGTTGCTTCTGCTTCTCCTTCTGCGTCTTCTTCTTCTTCTTCGCCTTCGTCGTCGTCCTCTTCTTCTTCGGGGTGGGAGGCCGCCTCGTCCCCATTGGCCTCCCCGTTATTTTGCCTCTCCTCGGGTTCCCCCTCGCCTCGCCGCACCCTCCCTCCTGCCGCTGGGCTCCCCCCGGTCGGCATTCCCTGTTTGTGCTTCTGCCGGTCGTTCCTCTTCGAGGGGAGGGGGCACGGTCCACGGCACGGCATCGGAGAAAGCTACGGTCCTCTTCGAGGGGGGCCATGGTCCACGGCACGGCACGGGGGGTCCACGGTCCTCTTCGAGGAGGGGGGGGGCCTCCAGAGGAAGCCACGGCCCACGGCAGTGGAGGCCATCAGGTCAGGCCACGGTGCTTGGCGCAACACTTTCAGCGTGTGCCGAGCCGCGCTCCGCAGCTGTCTCTTGCGCCAGCTCTGGTCTGTGGGTTCATCGTAGAACATAAAAGGAGTGAGCTCCAAAATGTTGGAGCCAATTGCCCCCCTCGCCCCCCCTCGCGGTCCCCATCGCGGGCCGCGCCCACGCGGGCAGTTGCCACACACACCCTCCGATGCTCCACCCTCGTGCTGTCGCTCGCACGCTCCCTGTCCTCCGCCGTCCTGCCCGGTCCTCGGTCCTCGGTCCTCAGTGCTCGTTCATCGGTCCTCCTCCTCCACCTCCTCCAACTCCTCTTCCTCCTCGCCCAACCTCCTCCAACCTTCCTGCATTCTTCCTCCTCCTCCTCCTCCTCCTCCTCCTCCTCTGCCTCCTCCTCCTCCTCCTCCTCCACCTCCTCCTCCTATTCCTCCTCCTCCTCCGCCTCCTCCTCCTCATCAAAACTCCTCCTCCTTCTCCGTCTACGCCTTCTCCTCCTCCTCCTCCCTCCTCCTCCTCCTCCTCCTCCTCCTACCCCCTGAAGCCTCCTCCAACCTCCCCTCCCCCTCCCCCCTCCTCCTCCTCCCTCCTCCTCCTCCTCCTCCATCCCTTTCCATATGATGAACACCTCCCTGTCGCGTCCTCAGACGTCTCGGCAGGGCGGACAGGGCGTCTGGCCATAGACTCTCTCTCTCTCTCTCTCTATCTTTCTTTCTTTATGTCTCTCTCTCTCTATATATATATAGTTCTCTCTCTCTCTGTGTCTAGGTATACATAGATTGTTATATGTCTCTCTCTCTCTCTCTCTCTTTCTTCCTTGTATTACCATTGTCTGTGTTGCACTGTCTCTCTCTCTCTCTCTGCATATAGACACACACACATATGAGGGTCCTTGTCAATTCCCGCACGCCTGCTAACATGCAACATGTCTTTTGTTCGGGGCCCGTTTCCGACTCGTCAACGCGATCTCGTGCGTTGATCGGAATGGCCAGGACCCATATACACCTGTATACCACATCTCGTTTTCGCGGATGCGCCAGAGTCCATTGAGCGACCCCAGCGAGGTTGCAGGCTCTCGGAGATCTGTCTTTTAGTGAGACCGCTGCCAGTCCAGAGGTGGTACTGGTGCCCGTGGTGGTGCGGAGGGAGGCGGGGAGTAAAGCATGCTTCCCCCTCCGCACCCCGAGTGGGATGGTAAGGACGCCCTTGTTTGAAGGAGCCCTCAATCAGGATTCCTTTCTTTCGGAGAATGCGACTAAGATGCCTGGAACCAGGATCCCCGCATACGGGTACCTGTAGAAAGCAGTCCTTAGGAAAGACTCTTGAATAAGGAGTCCTTTTGTAAGGCTGCCTGGAAGACAAACTTATTTCCGACGATGCCTTCAGCACGGATTGCTGAATTAGAGTGCCTTTAGCAAGGGATCCTGCAATGATGCTTGCGTTGTTCGGGGCCGTTCCCGTGGGGATTCCTTACGCTGGGGAACCTGCATAAAGGTTGCCATGCGGAGGCCTTACAGTCACATGAATATTGGTAGTGAGCTTTTGGAACGCACGAAAGCACATCAGAAGCGCGTGTCCACGCACGCGCACGCACGCACAAGTGCTCAACACGGGGCTCGGGCTCGGGCTCGGTCTCCAGCTCGCGCTCGGGCTCGGTCTCCAGCTCGCGCTCGGGCCGCGCACACCCGCGCGCGCGCGCTCGGGATGGAGCTCGGGCTCGGGCTCGGCCTCGAGCTCGCGCTCGGGCTCGGGGTCCTCTTCGCGTTCGGGATCGGTCTCGCGCTCGCGCCTGCGCCTGCGCGCGCACGCATGCGCGCACGCGCACGATCGCGCCCACGCGCACGCTCGCGCACGCTCACGCACGCTTACGCACGCGCGCACGCGCACGCGCTCACGCGCACGTGCACGCGGACTGCCCTCGTTTGATCATCACTAGGCTGGACGACAATGCTCGGACACCCACCCCTGGGTCCCGCACCCCCTCCCATCTCCGACCTCATGTATACTGTTTAAACCCTAAATGGGATGTGGTTACAGCGCCCACTTTCTAAAAAGGAGCAAATCTCTTCAGCAGATTATGTCGTCCAGAAGGGTGGGCTCCATCACCCAACTTTTACTCAGAACAACGGGTCCAGCAGCCGACGCCGTGGACTCCAGCACCCGGCTTTGACGAGGGAAAGCGGCTCCGGCGGATTGCGTCGTCCAGAAGGGTTCGCTCCAGCATCCAACTTTTACGAGGGACAATGGTTCCAGCAGCCGGCGCCGTGGGCTCCAGCACCCAATTTTGACGATGATGCCTGCAAGACGACCGGGCCATCTTTTGAAAAGGCAGCTAAGGCGCCCCGCACCCCAACCACAAACCCTCCTACAGTCCGTCAAAAAATTCAGCAGCAAAACATCCATCTGACTGTAATGAAGATCCCATTGCTGCGGGATCCTTCGTAAGGACGCTTCTGCTAGGGATTCCCCCTGTGAGGATCCCTGTAGGAATGTGTCCTCAATGATGGATCCTTACTTGAGGCCCCTTGAGTACGCGTTCATCACTGAAGACCACTTTGATAAGAAATCCATATGAAGGGTTACTTTCGTAAGTCGCCCGTGCTAACAGGATCCCTGTCATAACGAATCCTTAGCAACGATGACGTTAGTCTTGATGTCTATTTATGAAACATGGCTTGGTCAACATGCAAATGGTAGTGGTTCCTGGAGGATGCCTGTAGTCTGGAATCCCTAGGTAGGGACCCCTGCAGGAATGACTTCCCAACAATCCATCACGAACTTTTTTAAAAAGGATTCGTATGTAAGGATGCATCCGTGGGGATTGTGTAGCAAGGGGTCCTCCATAAGGGTCCCCATAAGTAAGCGTTCGTCCGTATAGACTCCTGTTGGGAAGAATTAGCATCAACAATTATTTCCCCGAGGCGTCCGTGCGAAAAGGGTTCCTGTAAGATCGGGTCTTTCACAGGGATGCATGTGGCAATGGGGTCATTAGCAGTGCCCCCGCTGCAGTTCGGATCCCTGAGTAAACACGCTTGCAATACGTATTCATGAATAAGGGTACCATGTAGCAAGGGGTCCTTAGCAACGACGCTCTTTCGAGAAAGATCTAGATTGAAGATCCCTTCGATGAGGAACCGTGCTCAGGTGTACAATGCGAGAGGATATGCGCAATGGCTTTTCTAGTAAGGCACCCTTAGCAAGGCTCCGTGTCAGTACAGGTTCCTTCACACGTAAGCTCTTTGCAAGGATGCCTGGGCAACAGTGCAAGTATTGTGTGGAGGATTCCTTCGTACAGATCCATGGGGCATGGAATCTTTTTTTGTTGAAAACATGATGATGCCTGTAATAGACATTCCCCTGCTATGCTGCCTTCAACAAAAACTCCCTCGGTAAGGATTCCTTTCGTAAGGGTGCATTAATAATGTGTCCGTTCGGCGTTGAATTCGTGGTGAAAAAGCCTGTTGCAAGCGACCCTGAACTAATGCGTCCTTTTCCCCGCGATGCCTTTCGTCAAGAATTCTTGGTGCGGATGCCTTTAGTATGGGGCCTGTACTACGAATTATTTGGATGAGGAATCCTGGGTGCAGATGTGTTTCGCACGGAGCCTTTTACAAACACACATCCCGCTGCAAATCCCGTTGTTGCGGGGTCCTTTCAAAGGATGCCTGTAGTAAGGATTTCGTCGCTAAGGATCCCTGCTTGAAGGATTTCGGAGTAAGGGTTCTTCCAATGAGGATTCCTCCGTGAAGATTGCTGTAGTAAGGGATCCTTCCTAAAGACTTCCTCAGTAAACGCTCGCCTATAAAAACCATGTAAGGGGAGGAGCCCTTTTTGAAATATCCCTTTCGCAAATCGACCGTTGCAAACACAGTCCTGTAGTACAGAAGCCGTGGTAAGGACGCAATTAGTAAGGAGTCCTTCGTCAGGCCCCCCATCAATGATGATGCCTGCAGTACGGATTCCTGCGCATGGACGCATTCAGCCAGGAATCCTTCGCAATGATGCTTGTCGAGACGGATCTCAAGTAAATTCTTGCAGGTGGGGGATCCTGAACAAGAGGCAGAGAGAGCTAAATGGAGAGAGAGAGAGAGAGGGAGAGCGACGAGAGTGCGATCCGCGTCGAGTAAACGAGGAGCACCACGAACGCACCCCGACCAACATCGGCAATGTGCAACATGGAAGCTACCGCATCAATTGTACCATGTGTGCGGGAATAGGCCAACGCTCACACGTATAAATATATACACGCATATATGTATGTATACAAATATATGGAGAGAGATAACTATTCATGTGGCTATATATATATGTATATATATAAGTGTGTATATATGTGTATACAAATACATATACACATCTATATGTGCATACATATATATGTGTGTATATATATATATATATATGCGTGGCCGATTCCCGAACCCCTGAACCGACAAAAGTTGCCACCTCTGGGGGGGGCGGGGGCAATCTTTTACTTCATCCGGCTCCCGCCGGCGGAGGCGGCCTCGACATACTGCTGGGGGCCAACCTTCCGCCGCCTTCCGTCGAGGAAGAGACGGCAACCCGTTCGGCCCTCGAAGGCGAGACCAGCTCTGGACCGCCTCATAGTTACATAGGTGTGCATAGTTGTGATCCTGAGGTTTCAAAATGACATAAGAGTCACAGGTGGAGGGCGGGTCTTTTTCAAAATGCGATTCTCGCCTTAGCGGCGCGCAAAGTCGTCACGACAAGGATTCGTTCGGACGAAGTCCCACGAATGGCGTTCTGGTAAAATCTTCGTTTGGTAAGGCTGATCAGTCGCGTTGATTCGCGTAGTTGAGGTCCCAGGAACGGCGTTCTGGCAAGATTTCCGGCGGTGAGGACGTAAGAGTCACTTTGATTCGCGGTGCTGAGATCCCAGGGATGGCCTTCTGACGAGACTTAGGATTGTCACTGCGCAACAATCCCGTTGATCCGCGCCGTTGGAAACCCAGGACTGTGTTTGGCACGATTGAGGATTCTCAAGCGGTTGTCTTCTAATGCGCCATTTCCTGCACTGAAAACAACTTTTTGTAGGCGACTTACGACGTGGGAACTTGGAGGTTGATGCAACATCGTGGCAACTTACGACGTGGGAACTTGGAGGGTTTATTGCAACATCGTTGATGCATCTTGGGTGCGCTCCTCCACCTCTTTGAGTCGTCACCTCAACTCCACCCCCTATCCTACCCCTCCTCCTCTAGGGGAACAAACAATGACATTAACATAAAAAAATCCGGGCGAAGGTCCCAACCATATACAGTTGTGGGTACCGCAATTGTGAATATCTGCTTCGGTGAAGCTCCCAATGGGGCCACGAAGCGCTGCACTGGGCGGGGGGAAACGCTGTACTGTGTGGGTCGTGTGCCGAATTGGGCCCCCCAGACGTCGACCTGGTTACGTCCTTCGCACGCAGCGCTCGAGGATGGTGATGTCGACGCGCCGTCGACGGCAACACCACACCGCTCACCCTCCGGGACTTCACCTCCGGCTCCTGTCCAAAGTGTACCTTTTCCTGTGCAAGCTCTTCAGCACCGCCTGCATCCCGCCCCCTCCGGCCGCCTGAGGCCCCGCCCGCCCGCGCCCTGTCTCCCCAATTCGTGCTTTGCGCGGCCCGCCTAGCTCTTAACCGGAAGAGGCTCGCTCTCGACCCGCAGACCAAAAAAGTGCCGAATTGGGTTTCCGGGACGCATGCGGACGGTCCCACTGAGGGCTTCGGTGGAGCTCCATGAGGCCACGAAAGGCTCTACTGAGTGAGTGAAAATGCCAAATTGGGTTTCCGGGACGCATGCGGACGGTCCCATTGGAGGCTTGGGTGGAGCCCCCTATGGGGCCACGAAACGCTGCACTGCGCGGGTGAAAATCCCAAGTTACATTTCCCAGACGCATGCGGACGGTGGCACTGGGGCCTTGGGTGGAGCCCCCTTATGGGGCCACGAAGCGCTGCACTGGGCAAGTGAAAATGCTAAATTGGGCTTCCGGGGCGCATGCGAACGAGGGCACTGGGGGCCTTCGGCTACGGGGCAACGAAACGCTGTACTGGGTGTGCGGGACGCATGCGGACGGTAGCGCTGGGACCTTCGGTGGGGCTCCCTTTGGGGCCACGAAACGCTGTACTGGGCATGCGGGACGCATGCGGACGGTAGCACTGGGACCTTCGGTGGGGCTCCCTATGGGGCCACGAAGCACTGTACTGGGTAGGTGAAACGCAGGGAGGACGGGGAGGAGGGCCACGAAACGCTGTACTGGGTGTGCGGGACGCATGCGGACGGTAGCACTGGGACCTTCGGTGGAGCTCCCTACGGGGTAACGAAACGCTGTACTGGGTGTGCGGGACGCATGCGGACGGTAGCACTGGAACCTTCGGTGGGGCTCCCCATGGGGCCACGAAGCGCTGTACTGGGTGTGCGGGAGGGACGCATGCGGACGGTAGCACTGGGACCTTCGGTGGGGCTCCCTATGGGGTCACGAAGCGCTGTACTGGGTGAGTGAAACGCAGGGAGGACGGGGAGGAGGGCCACGAAACGCTGTATTGGGTGGGCGGGACGCATGCGGACGGTAGCACTGGGACCTTCGGTGGAGCTCCCTACGAGGCCACGAAGCGCTGTACTGGGTATGCGGGACGCATGCGGACGGTAGCACTGGGACCTTCGGTGGGGCTCCCTATGGTGCCACGAAGCGCTGTACTGGGTGCGCGGGACGCATGCGGACGGTAGCACTGGGACCTTCGGTGGGGCTCCCTAGTATGGGGCCACGAAACGTTGTACTGGGTGGATGAAACGCAAGGAGAAAGGGGAGGAGGGAGGAGGAGAGAGGAGTTGGAGGAGGAGGGGGAGGAGGAGAGGAACGCGGGGGCGACGTCTCTCCAGAACGAGGACCCAACACCACAGGATGGTTGGGAAAAACTCAGATGTGCGCGCGGATTTTTGGGATCGACGATTGACCCCCCTCCCTGGCGCGCTCCGCGCGCCAGGGGCTGCGGGGGTCCAGCGCCGATACGAGAAGTCCGCGCGGACCTCCGAGTTGTTATGTCTAAGTCATTGTTCGTGCCCCTAATTCCACCAGCCCTCTGGGCGTCGGTGGTTTAGAGCGTTTCCTCTTCCACCCCTCCTTCTTCCCCTTCGGGGAGGGGTTTACCCCTCCCCCTACCCCCTCCCCACTGACCTGGACAAGGGGGGCAGGGAGCGGTCAGAGCGTCTAAAACGGCCTCGCCGAGGAAGCCAAAATCATTGATGTTACTAAGGTTTTGGCCCCATTTTGGCCCCCAGAGGGGGCAGCACTAATTGAAGCTCCCCTCTTCTTTGATCGATTTCCTCCAAGATGGCCCCAAGAAGCGCCCAGGAGGCACCAAGAGGCCCCAAGATGGCCCCAAGATGGCCCCAAGAGGCCCCCAGGAGGCCCCCAAGAGGATCCCAAACGGCCCAAAGAGGCCCCCCCGAGGCACCCAAGACGCCGAAAAGCCCCTCAGGACGACCCTCTACTCGCCTGGGCGTCGTTTCTGGACGGGCTGGTGGGGATACGCGAAGCGTCTAGAATTCTACCCCTCATCCTCATCCTCCTCGACCTCTATCCTTTTCATCCGTCTGCGGGGGTCACTTGCCTTGAGCAGGGACCGACCGTCCCGGCATTCCTATAGTCCTACCACGAAGTGTTCTTAGAACCCAAACATGTTCTAATAACAAAAACCGTGCTCTCAGGACATAGGCCCGATGTGGCAAAACAAGACAGGCTCCGCCAGAAATGTTCAAGGAACATGTCGTGGGAACCACAAACCGCTCTTAGAACATTGCTTGGTAGGGCTATGGACACGCCAGGACGCTTCGCCACTGCTTCACACTTGCCCCCGCCCTGCGCAGAGGCCCTGCGGGCCGAGAGGGGGCCTCGAGGGCCCGACCGGGGCCGACCCCCCCCGCGGCGACGGCCCTCGGACGGGAGGGGCGTGGTGCAGACTCGCTGGCGCATCCTGGCTTTATCCTGCTCCTCCTCTCCCCTGGCTTTATCCTGCTCCTTTTCTCCCTCCTCCTCCTCCTTCTCCTCCTCTTTCCCCTCCTCTTCCTTCTCAGCCTCGTCCCCGTCCGCCTCCTCCTCCTCCTCCTCCTCCTCCTCCTCCACCTCCTCCTCCTGCTCGTCGTCCTTCTCCTCGTCATCGTCGTCCTCCTCCTATCCTCTTCGTCCTCGTCGTCGTCGTCGCCGTCCTCCTCCTCCTCCTCCTCCTCCTCCTTCTCCTCCTCATCCCTCCTCCTCCTCCGCCTCCGCATCGTCGCCGCTCCACCCCGAGCTTTCGCCGCCGGCGCCTGCGCACTCGGCCGCGCCGCCAGGACCGCGGCGAGGTCCTTCAGCGCCGGCGACTCCACCAGCCAGCTGGGAGGGGCGCCCGGCGCAGCTTCCCCAGGCGGGGGGGGACGGGGGAGGCATAGTGGGCAGCCCTGCCAGGCCTCGGGGACCGTCCAGAGACGCCTCAGGATGGGAGGCTGGTTCAGGCGTTGGCAGAACTGAGTTTAGTGGGACCTGGTTTAATGATGTGTACAGGGGGACGCCCTCATGCCCCGTTCCACTAACCGGAACTGCCGTCGCCCGAAAAAACACCAGCTGCGGCAGACCTGGTTTAGCGATTCTGGCCAATTCAGGGGCCCCGGGGCCCTACCACTAACCGGGTCCCCTTACCTGGGGTCCTGAATATACCCGACTGGTCCCGGGGAGCCGACCGAGACCTCACGGGGCCGCCACCTACCACGCTGTGAACAGATCGCGTTGTCGGGGATGCGCGGCCGCATGAGTCTGACACTCCTTGCGGAGCCCGCGCCCAGGCGGGGCACACGATCCAATCCACGCTGCCAGGGTGAGTTCCGTGGCCGCCACCCCCGCCGGGAGGTGTGGCACTGGCGCAGGGCTGAGCGCACGGGCCGCTGCTGCCACCAGCGCGCAGCACACTCAGAGCTGCAACGCTGTCTGAGCTCGAAAACGAGCTCGAGACGGTGCACGCCCCATCAGGCCGGAGCCGAGAGGGAGAAGGGCGGTGTCAAGACTCCGGCCCCGTAAAAAGGATGCAGAACAGAAATTCCCAAGAGAGTCGACGTAAACTGCGAACTGCGGGCAGGACCGCGTGAATGCTGGTCAGACCTGCCCTAAGATTCCGCAGCCCCGGCAAACCTCCTCCTCCTCCTCCTCCGTTCTCTTCCCTCCTGCTCTCTGATACTCCCTCCTATCGGCTCCCTGCTCCTCCTCGTCCTCATCATCTTTGTCCCTCTTTTTCCTCCTCCTCCTCCTGCTCCTCCTCCTCCTCCTCCTCCTCCCTCCTCCTCCTCCTCCTCCTCCTCCTCCTCCTCCTCCTCCTCCTCCTCTCTCCTCCTCCTCCTCCTCCCCCCCTCGTCCTCATTGTTTCTCCCTCCTGCTCTTTCCTGCTCCTCGTCTTCCTCCTTCTCATCCTCCTCCCGCTCCTCCTCCTTCCCCTTCCCCCTCCTTTCCAGCGCCGCCGCACATTCTTCTGGAACCTTCGTAGCACCTTCACAGATGTAAGGAAGGCCGTTTTAAACATGTATGTGGCGCTCGCCTTCGCGCCACGCACAATCGTCCTGACAGTGTGCAGCCGTTTCACTCATGGAGGGCGGGCCGTTTCAAACATATGGCATTTGCCTCAGCGCCGCGCGCATTGGTCTTGAAAGCCTGCAGCAGCTCAACGGCTGGATGGCGGACCATTTGAAAAATGTGGCTCTCGCCTTAGCTCCGCGTGAACTCGTTCTATGAAATGCTGGCCCGCGTGGGCCCCAAACGGTAGGTGAGTGCAGTCTACGCGGTGCAATCCACTTTGACCGTCTTGAAGCTGTCCTCTCCGCTGCTCGTGCAAACATCCCACCCTCCCACCCGCAACTTGGTCGCAAGACATCGTAAGACAAGACCGTGACGGTAGGTACCACATGGCACTTGGCCACGACACCGACGCCGACGACGACAGCGACAACGACGACGACGGCGCCGCCGACACCGACTACGACGACACCGACTTCTCCAACGACTTCGACGACGACAATGATGACGACGACGACGACGACACCGACGACGACGACGCCGACGACGACGACGATGACGACGACGACGCCGACTACGACGACGCCGACGACGACGACGACGAAGACAACGACGACGACGACGACAACGACGACGCCAACGAAGACGACGACGAGGGAGGAGGGAGGACGACGACGGCGACAACGACGCCGACGACGACAACGACGAGGGAGGAGGGAGGACGGCGACGATGCGAACGACGAAGAAGGAGGAAGGACGGCGACGCCGACTACGACAACGACGAGGGAGGAGGGAAGACGACGACGACAACGACGACGACGACGACGACGACGGCGACGAAATAGGAGGGACGACGACGAGACGCCGACGACGGACGACGACGACGACGAGGGAGGAGGAGGAAGGACGACCACGGCGACAACGACGACGGAAACGACCACGACGCCAAAGAGGACGACGACGACGAACACGAGGAAAGACACAGGATGACGTAGGCGACGACGACGACGACGACGCGGGAGGAGGGAGGACGGCGACGACGACGACGACGACAACGACGACGCAAGAGCGCGCGCGCACGCTTTTGTTGAAAATTCGTGTTGCGAAACCTTGTGTTTTTGTATGATTTTTGGACGCGCGATTTTGAAATCCTTCCGAAACCGATGGGTTTTGAAGGGTTTCGGCGTACGCGCGCGACGACGCGCGCGTCTGCACTTCGTCTCATTTGTTGCAAAGGATTCCCGCGACGGCACACGCGCAGGGGCGTTCGACAGATTTCGACATGCGCGCGCGACGCCCGTTTGGTAGCATGTTGTGAAGATCTTGAAATTCCGATGGGTTTCTTGAGATTTCGCAAGAGCTCGCGCGTAAGCTTTTTTAGCAAGTCAGTGTTGCGAAACCCTGTCTTCTTGTATGTTTTTTCGGAAGCTCGATTGCCGCATCCTTCCGCCACCGAAGGTTTTTGAAGGATTTCGGCATGCGCGCGCGACGACGCGCGCGTGTGCACTTCGTCCCATTTTTTGCAAGGGATTCGCGAACATGTGTTATGTTAGAACAAAAAATGTCACCGCAGAATGTCTTTTACAAGGGAACCTCAGGGGGGGGAACCCGGCCCCCCTGGGATAGTGTAAATTCATATTTAGGATGGACATGTGGTCATAATCATATATGATTTACATACCCGAAAGGGGGGATAACGCCGGGGGGGGGTAGAGTCTATTCTCTTTTTGGTCACTTTGACCGTCTTGAAGCTGTCCTCTCTACTGCTCGTGCAAACATCCCACCCTCCCACCCGCAACTTGGTCGCAAGACCTCTTACGACAAGACCGTGACGTTAGGAACCACATGGCACTTGGCCACGACACCGACGCCGACGACGACAGCGACAAGGACGACGACGGCGCAGGGAAAACCGACTACGACGACACCGCCGATGTCGACGACGACGAAGACGACGACGACGCCGACGCCGACGACGAAGACGACGACGACGACGTCGCCAACGAAGACGAGGGAGGAGGGAGGACGACGACGGCGACAACGACGACAACGACGATGGAGGAGGGAGGACGACGACGACGCGAACGACGAAGAAGGAGGAAGGACGGCGACGCCGACGACGACAACAACGAGGGAGGAGGGAAGACGACGACGACGACGACGACAACGACGACGAAGACGACGACGACGACGGCGACGAAATAGGAGGGACGACGACGAGACGCCGACGACAGACGACGACGACGACGAGGGAGGAGGACAACGACGAGGGAGGAGTGAAGACGACGACGACGACGACGACGACGACGACGGCGACGGAGTAGGAGGGACAACGACGAGACGCCGACGAAGACGACGAGGGAGGAAGGACGACCACGGCGACAACGACGACGGAAACGACGACGAAGCCAAGACGACGACGACGACGACGAGGAAAGACAGAAGACGACGACGGCGACGACGACGACGACGACGACGACGAGGGAGGAGGGAGGACGACGACGACGACGACGACGCAAGAACGCGCGCACGCTTTTGTTGAAAATCCGTGTTGCGAAACCATGTGTTTTTGTAGGTTTTTGGACACACGATTTTTGAAATCCTTCCGAAACCGATCGTTTTTGAAGGATTTCGGCGTACGCGCGTGACGACGCGCGCGTCTGCACTTCGTCAATTTCTGTTGCAGAAGATTCTCGCGACGGCACACGCGCAGGGGCGTTCGACAGATTTCGACATGCGCGCGCGACGCCCGTTTGATAGCATTTTGTGAAAATCTTGAAAAACACATGGTTTTTTTTAAGATTTCGCAAGAGCTCGCGCGTAAGCTTTTTTAGCAAATCAGTGTTGCGAAACCTTGTGTGTTAGTATGTTTTTGGGGAAATTCGATTGCGAAAGCCTTCCGGCACCGAAGGTTTTTGAAGGATTTCGGCATGCGCGCGCGACGACGCGCGCGTGTGCACTTCGTCCCATTTTTTGCAAGGGATTCGCGAAAAAGTGTCACCGCATAGGGGGTGGATGCCGGTTGGCCTGTGACATTGTGATTTCATATTTAGGATGGACATGTGGTCAGAATTATATATGATTTACATACCCGAAAGGGGGGGTGATAACGCTGGGGGGGGTAGATCCTATTCTGTTTTTAGAAAGGAGAACAAAGGAAACTTCATTTCTGTTCGCAGTGAGTTGTCCACTCCACTGCTCGCGCTAACATCCCACCCACCCACCCGCAACTTGGTTTGCAAAATCTCTTAAGACCGTGACGGTGGGTACCAAATGGCACTTGGCAACGACAGCGACGCCGACGACGACAGCGACAACGACGATGACGACGCCGTCGACAACGACTGCGACGACACCGACGACGTCTCCAACGACTTCGACGACGCCGACAACGAGAACGACGACACCGACGACGACGACGACGACGCCGACGCCGACGACGACGACGATGACGACGATGATGACGACGCCGACGACGACGACAACGACGACACCGACGACGACGACGACGACGTCAACGACGCCGACGGCGACGACGACGACGACGGCGGCGGCGACGACGACGACGCCGACGTCGGCGACGACGAAGACGACGACGACGCCGACGCCAACGACGACGACGAAGACGACGACGTCGCCAACGAAGACGACGAGGACGACGGAGGAGGGAGGACGACGACGGCGACAACGACGACAACGACGACAACGACGAGGGAGGAGGGAGGACGACGACGACGCGAACGACGAAGAAGGAGGAAGGACGGCGACGCCGACGACGACAACGACGAGGGAGGAGGGAAGACGACGACGACGACACGACGACGACGACGACGACG